AGTCCCAGGTTGGATATTAGGAAAAACTTTTACACTGAAAGTGTTAGTAAGCATTGGAATGGGCTGCCCAGGGAAGTAGTTGAGGCACCATCCCTGGAGACATTTAAAAGATGGGTTGACATAGTGCTTAGTGACAATTTAGCGATGGTTTTTTAACAGTTAGGTTGATGGTTGGACTAGAAGATCTTAAAGATCCTTTCCAAACTAGACGATTTTATGATTCTAAGTAAGGGGAGAATTATGATTAAGAGTGAAAACACTGCAAACTTACAGTATCTTCCTAGAAAGACCCATGTCAAACAGTTCCAAAGCCACAGCCAGGAATACGAACAAGTTAAAATATTACTTAAGAAGAAAAGGTGCAAGAAATAGAAAAACACTGGAACCAGGAAGGATCTCCTGCCCGATCATGTCCTGTTTTAACTGACAGTTAGTTGGGTAAATTTATGGGCTAAAACCTTGTAGCAAGAAGGTGATTTTACCTTTATATCATAACACATTTATCTCCAACAGGGAAATACAAAACCTAAAAAAGGAGACTGACTCACTGATCCAATAGGAAATTCAGCAAAGAAGTAAAGCGAGTCTATCCTACAAGAGTGAAAGAGTGGCATGGATACATTTTTCTTGGTCTCACAAAAAAAATACCCTAGGCTATTACAAAAAACGTATTAAAAATAATAAAAGCACAAGAAAACGTCTGATTTAGAAGCAGTGCCCATTACATAACATTCTGGTACAGACACAGAATGTTAGGTTAAACAATATTACGGTGTAATGAGCAATTTTCAAAATCACTCACTGAATTTCACAGAAGCGGCATGTCTCCATGCTCCAGTAGTTTTATGCAGCCAGAATTACTAAGCATAACGTGCAAAAGAGACATCTTCATGATCACATGACACATCTACACAGATAAGAACAGATAATAAAATGCAAAGGTCCACAGGCCTAGCAGATAAGGTCAAGAGTCTCAATCCTAATTCACAAGTTAGATAAATGTGGGATAAATAGGGCTGGGGGAGATTACACTGCTCTCCTCATGTAATTATGATCCATGGTTATACATCCTTCATCTACAGAAAAATAAATGTCTAGTCATAATGCAAATTATGTTCATTTCATCAAGATACTAAGTTAGTACTATACTCATTGCTACTGATTTCACGTGAAACACCACGCGTCCTGGCACATCACAGTTCAGTATTGCTACAAGAGGGTGTTAGGAAAAGCCATGCAGTTTGCAGATGATTTCGCCCAGAAAGACATTATAAACTGGTACTTTTCAATCGTTTGCTTTGAACATTGGAATGTTGGATGCTACAATGATTTCTTTCCAGTTTGAAATGACCACTACGCTGGCAGCCTTTTACAAATGATGTGCTAGATAGGTTATTAGTATGCACAAAATCACCACGTTAAATTCATCCTGAAGTGCTTGCTCTGGAATTAGCATCACAAATCCCACCCTCTAATTCACTCAGGAGCACAAGCTACTTCATCTACACCTGTGTATTAAGTGGCTGTGCCAGCGCTTACCTGCATTGCTCTGATTTGATTGCCTGTTTTTAACTAACATGAACTTCTGCCTTAACCGCACTAATAATTACGATGCAGCAGCAGTGAGAGTCAGACATGTTTCACTGGGAAGAGTCACCCCAGAATGCTCTCCCAACAACGTCTTTGATCCTTCCCTTGGTTGCAAATCCCTTCTCACCATTCTCTCCCCTTTTCTCTCACTTAAGACTTCTGAGCCTGCACCATGCACTGTGGAGTCCGTGAGATTCACAGCATATGTGCAGGGGAAGGCCACTTTGCACCTATAAGCTACTGTTTCCACAATTCCTGGGGAGCTCTCTCCTTTCTAACATCTTCCTTATCAGTCCTTCTACCCTTTATTTTCCTATCACCAGCTCCCCTTTGCACTACAGCCCCATCATCTGAGAGAGGGATGATGTTAATAGCTGATGATTAGCCGGACTTAACCATTCAACTTGTTACTGCCAAATGCAATGCCCTCTCCTTCACTTCTCAAAATGCAAGGTTACAACACCAAAAGTCACACTGAGAGCACAGAACAGAGCACGCAAAAGCAGTATTCATGACTGCCAGGAAAATGCCATTTGCATAACTAATCATGGGGAAAGTGTTTGTTAAAAAGATACATCCTTTTCCTGATACCAAGCTGAAAATGCTAAAATATAAGCTGCCAACCAGTATCAGCAACAGTGATTTGGCTGAACTTATTGGAAAGGATAAAGAAATGTGAATTATTTGTTTAACAGGTATCCCACACTGGTATAAAAGACTTCTGAAACAGAAGTTTGCTGCTGAAGGCATTTTTATTTTTTCCAAGATAGAAGCTGCTTGATGACCATGTGGAAAATGCAATGAACTTCTCTCCTTTTATGACAGACATTAAACCCAAATTTTTAAGAAAGTAGCTTTAACAACACAGGTGAAGTTCCCCTGTGATTCATTATTTCCATGACAAGAATGGTTGATGAAACAGTTACAAAAGGAGTAACAGTTTTTAGTGTGGGACTGGAGAATATGTTAGGGTTACATTCTGTTACTCCCTTGCAGAGAAGTCAAACACAGGCTTATTTTAATTTAGAACAAAGTATGCCCTAAGAAACTGGCAAAGATGCTCATGTATCAATTAATGATAAAGAACACCTGTTACTTTTCAAGAAAGGAAAAGACAGAAAAGGAAAGGCACTTTTACCTAAAAGCAAGCTGGATGATTTTCCATCTACAAAGTTATCTTTCCTTGAAGTACACACACTGTCAGTTTAGGGTCATTAAAGCTTTTTGTAAAACTGGAATGATATCCACAATGTCTAATTATTAATAGCAATGACAAATGATGTTAGTGTTTTAAAACAGGCTGCCACAAATAGGAGAAATGAAGACAAAGTACTACAACAACATATCAAAAAAACCAACCCAACCAACCAAAATACACATAGCAAAATGAAATGCAAAGCCTTTGCAGAAGCACACATTTAAGCTGTCAATACCTGAAGACCTAGCAATGAAACCATGAACACTAAGTTGCTTTTGCACTACACATCCCAAATCCAATCCAGTTGTCTGAGGATCCAGACAACTCCTCAAGAAATTAAGTAATTACAATTTAACACTACTTGTAAATACCACCTGTAAGGCACAGAAAGGTAACAAAAATAATGTATGTCTTGATGCTGACATACAACATACCTTTTTTGTAACAACAAAGACTTTGGGTTAAATGGGATGAAGTGCAATTATAACCAAGTTATAATGAAAAACAAGAGTGACCATAACTATCTAATGCCTATTTGCTCAGCATTTATAACAAGTGGGACAGCATATACTTTTAACTACCCTCATTTTTTTTAATGCCCTTTAGTGACAACTCCGAAGCTGTGGAAAACACTGATTCTCTGTAACCAAGCTTCCTCCCAAGGATGTGCTTGATTTAACTAAACTCCAGGAACATAGTAAGTTTTCGGGGGAGTGTGTGGGGAAAACCAAGAAGACCTGCACATCCCAGAAAGCCAACAATCTTGTCATTAGATGCCAGTCCAAGTCACAAACACACAGGGGATGGATTTAAAAACTGAGCTGCAGTTAGTCCTACTGCAGTCTTACAACACCACATTGAGTTTACAAATAGTGAAATAGCAGCATGAGGAAAGATCTAAGAGAGGCAAAACAAGGTCATACCTATAAGCTCAGTGACTAAAAATAAGGGACTGGATAGGTGAAACACCTGCTCCTTTTATTTCTACAAAGCATAAAAATTTTAATACTAGACCTTAAGTCACTTTCCACAGAATTGAACAGCCCAATCCCTAATTAGGATCAAGAACCTCGACAAGGACTCTCAAATCCAAGCTGTTCTAGAAATATCCACTCCAGCTTTCTGTCAAATCAGCTTCAATGAACACCATTTCCCACCCTACACCCCAAAAAGACCTGGAAAAAAGTATCCAAAACCTCAAAAACATAATGGAAGAAAAAAATCCAGCCTTGCTTCACATCAGTGATGAAAAGTTTGAAAACTCCTTCACTAGTATGTGTCAAATAACTTCTTCCATATATTTAATTATATATTGTAAGGCTCAAAACCAAACTCAATGAGGCACTGAAATCAGGTATTATAAGATGTTGAATCTCAATTTACACAGACACAAAATAATTTCCATTTTTCTTTCCACCAGCTCTGAAAAGTTACAATGTTTTCCTATCAATGTTTAGGAAAGCAAGAATTAAGATGAGTCTAATTTAAGAGCCTCACTTAAGATTTCCAGATTAACACTTTCATCACTAAACAAAGGAAAAGTATGTAGAGTACAGAAAGTCAATGGAAAGGTAATCTTGCTTTCTAAGTATACACATAAAGTTTTGAGCAATTATGGCACAAGTATACAAAAGGGTAAAGGAAGTTTTGATGTAGATACCATATTCTCTTGGGGGCAGACCAAAAGGACTTTCAGAAGCTGCCTTTACTGAAGAAGAATCTCTGTATTACATGCCTAGTTTTGTAAACCTTTCCAAAGGCTGCTTATCTAGAATGTGGGAGGCCAGGATACAGCCTCTGGATAATTCAGGCATGTAAAATGCCTTCTGACCTCCTTAATGTCTGTTTGGCCTTTTCCACTGATGAAAGGAAACCAAATTTTATGTTATTTATTTCCATCTCCAAGATGTGCACTCTTAAACTGCGTAATTTTTTGAGTGCAATTCACACATACACGTAGGTGGTATAAACTCAGAATCTTACACAACTTTACTTTTTCCTCACTTAAGAAATCAGAACCTAATTTAAAACTGTAGGATCATAGAAACATCTGTTCATTTTTGAAGCTACCAGTATATGAAATATTTCAGACAACAGCAAAATAGACAAGAAAAAGCAAAATGTCAAGTTCCCACAGGCTATGATTTCAACATTCCTTCTGATTTTTATCTCCTCATTGATAGGCAGAGAGGCCAACAAGCATTCAGCATACCTGCTCCAACTTCTTTTTCTTCTTCTTCAATGTTGTTTTTGATACTGTCGTACTCCTCATCGATTGCCTGGTTGCCCCTCATTTGAGACAGAATTCTCCGCGCTCTCTGAGTCTGGCCTTTCTGAATGAGCCAGCGGGGACTTTCGGGAAGAAACAGGAATCCAAGAAACTGTATCACTGCCGGAACAGCTGACAGGCCCAGCATGTACCTGGAAATATGCAAATAAATAAATGCATAAATGCCTACAAAAACATGCTAGGAGAAGGCTCAGTTACAGCTACTCAAGCTGGGATTTACAAATCAAATCCTTGTCCTTTGTATTCTTTATCACCAGAAGTAGGCAAGCACCATGTTCTGTGAGTATTTTAGAAATCAGGATCCTCTCTTTCAATTCCAGGAAATCTCAAGGACATGTTGACTCTTCTGCCACCACTGACCCCAAGGACACCAAATCAAACTAAATAAAAACCCTGAAACAACGCAGTAGTTTGGAGACTGATAATTCCTTCAGTGAAGATAAATGAATTAACAGAAAACAAAGGCACACAGAACAAATGGATGCTGCTGATGGCAAAAAGGAGAGTGAAATCCTGATAAATGTTCTAGAGACATATTAAAAAAAAAAACCCAAAAACAGCCAATGAGAAATGCATGATTTGGTCAGCAATATAAACACACAGACAAGAAACCAAGGAATATGCCTCTTGTCTAAGGAGACACCTGTTTTACTTTTTAAAATTCCTATCAGCAGAAACACTGAACAAAGTTCATTTCACCAGCACAGCAATTTACACCAGATCTTTTGGAGAGTCTGCTCTTAAATCGTTAGCCAGCTCCAATGTTAGGTTTTAAATCAAAAGTGCATTTTAGATGTCCAGGGCAGGGGAGCGTACTATATATAGCATTAAGGGTAGTTCTCTACTTAACAGAGAAGTACCACTGGCCAGAAGAGTTATGCTTCCTGGGACCAGCATTGACACCTGTGACAACACCCACAGATACCATGATTTGCTCCAGCTGAAGTGGGGGGGGAAAGACTGTGAAAGATCAGCATAGCACCAACTGTCATGGGTGGTTATGGCCTATACACTTCACATTTTTATATTTGTTCATTAAAAGACTAAGATGAATAACAAGAATTGCAGAACTGTGTAATTTTGTTCTGCTTTTTACATCTGACCTTTTTCCATTTGCGCTTCACTTTTTTTTTTTACTTCCATTAAAGACTTTAAGGGGTGCTGGTGTCGCCTGTACATTATTGTATAGCTATCACAGGTTTCACATCAGTGGTTGTAATCGTTAAAACACCTCCAGAAGCGAGCCCTCAGACTAAATAATGTGGCAGTCTGTACTCATAAACAGGTTCACACCTTGACATCAGTCAGGAGATTAAGGAGATTTGCTAATCTCTCCTCTAGCTCCTCTCATCATACCCCAGGCATGCACGCTTTCACACAGACGATTCGGCAGTTTCTCACCTTGATGTTTTTATAAAGCACACTAGGAAATGAGATTGCTAATAGAGTAGAAAAGAGAGCACAGCCATTAATGGAAACCTTGTTTCAGGGCAATGAACCAAATGTATGTGTCAAGTCCAAACGCATTTTGTATGAAAATGGAAAAAGACTTCCTTAGAGGCATTTGCAGATTTAACAAATTAAAACATGAGCAACACAACAGGGCAGAAAACTGGAGAATGAGGAAAAGAACATCCAAAAGGTAATGCAAAGATGGCTGTCCCAGGACAACGTGCATGCAGGCCAGTCTTTTCATCCCCAAGCTGAGCCCTCAAGTTCTTCCTAATATCAGCAAAAATTTCCAGAAGTCATATAAGTAAATCTTGCTCTACAAAGAAATCTGTGAGAAAATCTCTTCTTTTCTAACACTTTAAGAAAGGTATAGCTCATCATTAGTTTAAAAAAGAGAAAAGCAGAAGGAAGAAAATTAATTTAAATCACAAAGCTTGCGGAAGGATTATTATCTGAATAGTCTTCAGCCAACATATCTAACAAGCATCACTAATTCACTATGTTCCCATTCCTTGTTCACTAATGTTGTCATTCATTAATGTCCTAATTTCTTTCTCTGCTCTTCCCTCTCCACAGACATTTTGGTAGTTGTATAGAGAATCACCTTTACTCACACACCACTGAAGCTCACCAAATTGTATATTCAATAGCTGCATTAGAGTGGTATTTAGAAAGCTTTCTCTATTTCAAGAGAAGAGTAAAACAAAACCATAGATGTTAAATACCCAATCACTGTATTCGGTCAAACTGCAAGCAAAAGGATCTTTTACAACATCTAAGTAAACAGATTTAGTCCTTTACACTCATATTACCTAATTTCTGCTCCTCCAAAGCCCTCCAAGTCCCTTAAATGCAGCAGGGCCTCCAGAACTAAGCAGTTGGGTACCTGCAATCATCTTGGGAGGAAAAATCAATTGAGGCTCCTGAAAGCTCGATCCAGCCTGTTAAAGCTACCAGTCGGAATCCATTGGATTGTTTATCACAGGCAAGAGAAAAGAGAAACATACAAAAAGTGCTCGCTCACTAAAGTTAGTTTTCAATTGACATCTTTTTGGCCGAAGTTGAGTACAAGAAGCAGGCCAGAAGGAAAATGCTCAGTTAAGAGCATACACCCATTGCAAGGTCAAGAGTTGTTGCAATTTTCAGATGAAGCAATTTTGATATAAACAATTTAGAAGAAAAGCAGGCAATTTTAGATGTTTCATGTAGTGAGCCAGCTTTCAGAAATCTAATATAGTTCCTTCCTATACAGAGTACAAGATTTGGCATTTGAAGCCAGATGTCTAGCAGACCTGAAAAAATCCAGCATGAAATTTAATAAGTCTGCTGTAACATTTCTCCTTCTCAGACATACTGCTGCTATACTATTAAGATGGCATTAGCAGGGTTTATAAAGCTAACGTGACATAAGAGCCAGGTGAAATATTTGTTTTCTTCGGTTTATTTTTAATTTAATATCCAGCATTTCCAAGAACAAACAGAGCCGAGAAGTAGTAAAGTTTCCTATTGTTTTTCTGTAGCATTCCCAATACTTAGCCATTCAGTCACTAAGAGCTACAATAATTCATGTAATTTTCCCTTTTATATGTGATGACTCCGGAGTGAACATCTGTGATTTCTCCCCATGCATGTGCTGGCCATTCTTTCCAGGTGACAGACCATCTGTACTTTTCCCTGCTCAGTCTTAGGTTGCAGTAAACTACCCGAGGACAGACAAGCACACAATCCCCTACTGAACAGCCCCAGCATCACAGCTGAGAATCTTTGGGTATCTCATCATTGGCACAGCCTCAGCTCCTGACCAACGCTTCGTCAACAGTCGCACTTCACCGGATCCAGCAGAACAGTTTTTGGCATGTACATAAAACATAGCATTACTGCCTTAGCAAAAGTTACCCAGCATGAGCCAGCAGGCTGCAGGAAACAATTACTCCTGACTACTCCATGCTGAATCTGGAAGACTGGGAACCCCAACATAAGAGAAAGCTACAAGCCAGGAATAGCAACGGATCACTAAAACAGTTGCACAACCAGAGAGTTTGACATAAGACGCTGATAGAACTGGGTTTGCTCTGCCCAGAAAAGGAGAGATGATCAAGAGGAGATCTAATTGCATCTTTCACAACAGAAAAGGAGCTCATAGAGAAGACAGTGACAGACTCTTCTCAGGTGTACACTGTGAGAGTACAAGAGTCAACAGTCACAAGTTGCAACAAGGAAAACACGTTAAAGAGAAGAGAAAACAATTCTTCACAGTGAGAGTGACTGAACATCTGAACAAGTTGTCTTGAGAAATTGAAATGTCCATCGTTGGAGATACTCAAGTCAGCAATGATTACTGCCTTCCGCTTAATCTTCCACTGTAGCTAAATATATTTACAAAGTAACATATCAAAAGATGGTAACCTGTGTGTGTAACAAACTGGAATGCCATTTTTCACTTAAATTATCATTTACATACAACTGTGGTTGTCAATCCTATGTCACTGCTTGAATTGAAAACTGATACATCCTGTATCACACTCCTAGCTCTCTGACTGATCTTTTCCAAAGAAGCCTAGAAGTTTGCTTTTGAGCTCCAAAAATTCAAGCTAGGGAGTATCTTAGTTAATCTGAACAATTAAACAAAAACACAGTTCCAATAAGATCAATACTTGTCAGATACTTTGTTAGCTTATCTTTTTCTTCCAATATACTAGTATTTACTGAAGCACACAGATTACAAACACATCCTTAGCTCCTATGTGCCAGCCCACTAATGGGAAAAAAAACCAAAAACAAACTTATGCACACAAAACCTTCCCCCAGCCGAATCCCTAACCACTGAGGTAAAGTGAACTAAAAAAATCTGCCTAAACAGAAAGTGCACAACGCCTCTAACAGCGACTCAGAGCTCCATTTCTAAATAAGTATCTTTACTTGTCCATTCCTCCCACCCAGTCCCATGCTTAAGGAGCCATTGCATTAGCAAATTATTTAGGTTAAAAGTTAATTTAAAACAACAAAGCTACTACTGAATAATTAGTATCCAGGATCAAATACTTTGGTTTGCATTTTACCTAGAAATGCATTACTGCATACCACTAACTTTTCTCAAAATTGAGCATACTTCTTTAATTCCAGATAGGGATTAGTCATCCTATAAAGCTAAGTTTTTCTTTCAGTGAAGGTTGTTTCTCCATTCTCCACAAGTGGACATACAGTCTGTCAGAGAATGCAGCTGCATCATAATGAAAAGGTCATGAAAAGCTTCACATAAAAATGTGAAATGCTATTTCATTTGAGCTAGCGTAACCAATGCATTTTCAGAAAGCACAAAGTAGAGCTAAAACTTAAATCAAAATTAAACAAAATCAGCATGAATTGATTTTTTTTCTTAAGGAAACAATAATATGGATGAAGAGTAAAAACTCAAACTTCTTGAATCTTCAGACATACAAAAATTAAACCACAGATTCATTAAGAAGATAACATCAACTTTTTGTTTTAAATCATATTTCTCTACATACTATAAAAAGGTCAGCTTCCAGGTTTTTCTACGTACCAACTCCCAAATTAGTTGTTCCTAACTTAAACCTCAAATGTCAGTGCACCTAGAATTCCCTATTCAACTCCATTAGAAGCCAGAGGACATCATAATATTTATGTTCCAAGCTGTTCTGGGTGGGGGGAGAATCCTACATATTAGGATTTTCAAATAGCACTACGATTCCAGGCTATAGCAATAGAAATCAAAGACCTTACAACAACACACATCACTTTTCCAAGAGTGTTTCAAGAGAAAATCACACATAATTAAGCACAAGTTTCCAGAAGCTGGAATGTATAAGTTATTCCTCCTACACATTTCTGTTAATTATTTTTTCAAATCAGCACTGCAAGTAAAATACTGAGCCACTGAAATTTCTCATCTATCTCAAATTACACACCACTATAAAGAGAGTAGGTATAAGGCTGCAGTTGAGAACACTTAGCCATGTTCCTTAGTGAACACTTAGGAAAAACACAATATCCAGGAAGTACAGTAAAAGAGATTTGTATTATTCAATAACCCAAACTTTTAACTTGCCACAATATCCTTCAATTCAATTCTGACTGGATTACTTCTGCTCAGATTAAGAACATTCAAAATACAGCTGTATTTTGCACATACAGCGTCATACTCAGTAGAAATTTGCTTTTTGAAAAATCAGCATGCAATTATTCTAAATGCAAAAGGAAAAGGCAAGCTACTTTCATAAACATCATGACAATCATTCAAGCTTGTTGATGCATATTTATTGCTCCTCCATTTTAAAGTTCAGTGAAGTCAAAAACACTAAGCATACTATGAACACTAAGCTGAAGTTAGAGTAGTATGGATATCATTTAGCAAGAGTTAATAATTAAAGTTCCATTTCAACATACAGTTTTACCACTTTATACATAAGCTCTATTTTACCCACAAGAAATATAATAGCTGTTGCACAAATCATGACCATGCTAGTTTTGCTTTTAGCAAGGAAGACTCACAAACCTCCATCCGTCCTTCGCGAGGTAGCTGAAGAGTCCATCGACGACACTTGCAAAAAACTGCCCCCCAGTGATGAACAGAGTGTTAATGGTGACTAATCTGCCTCTTAAGTGTGGAGGAGCAACTTCTGCGATGTACACTGGCACAGTCATAGACGCTACACCTACAAGAATAAATTAAATTACAGTTATAAATTCAAAAGAGACTCTACGTCCTTTTTACATCATAAAATATTACACCATTTAAGTGGAACAAGCTGGAAGAATTGATTTCCAGGTTCCAAAAGATGAAAAGGAAGAAAAAACACCTAATGAACTCTAGAAGCATATCCATGGGCACACACAGTGGTTGCTAATGGCTGTATTGGAAGTTCAAGGTTTGATGTAACGATAGAAGGAATAACTCACTTCAATTCACATTGCATGTATACTAAGATCAAATAAAAAGCATAAATGTATTCATAGTTTTGAAAACAGGAGATGCTACAATCCAAGTAAGCACACATAAGTCAAAGTGACTAACTGAGGATGCCAAGTGTCCCCAGCTCTGAGTTTAAACAGAACGTTAGCATGGTTTCCACCTCCAAGAAAAACCAAGGCCAAGCATTACTATTATTAGTGTGCAATTTCATTATTGTTATATTGAATGGATTGTTTTGTGATTTTTTTTGGTTGTTCCTTGACTTGATTTATAAGTATTCCAAATACAATGCCAAAAACTCTACCGCCCTAGCTGGAGCTAAAGCACAGCTGCCTTTTATTCTGCCTTAACACTGTTGCATTTCCTCCGAATTATGCGATGGCTCTAAATGAGACTTTTGTGCAAAAGACAGAAATGCCCATGTGGAACACACACAGGAGCACGCACATACATAAACTGTAAAAAAAGGTGTTCGAAAAACATATGAAGAGCAGAGCCCAGTGCGGTACATGCTTTGGTGTTCACCAAATCTTCCAACAAACCTGTGCTCTGATTTGAAGGAAATTTATATTCCAGTTTCCTTAAGAGAACCAATGGTGACAATCAATAGCAATTTCTTTTGTCATTAAAACTGGAAGTACATTGGCGGCACACACACAAAAACACATTCTGACTGAAGCCAGCTGAGATACAACGTGACCATGGCCCAGCAGCAGCAGAGACACCACATCTTCCATCCATGGCAGCTCCACCGGGTCCGCACTGACAACCCCACGCCAGCATGGGCCACTGCCACCACCTCAGCGAGAAATGGGGTCACCTAAAGGCATGCACGTGGCTCCTGAAGCTCGGCCACAGTTCCTGGCTCCTCTGACAGCAGAAAGGCTTCATCATAAAATGGCGGCAGCTTCGGCCAGCACCCCACTGCCTGACTGACTCACCAAACTAAGAGCACAAAATCATCTTTAGCAACAAGGTTAGCCTGACAGAACTGCTGGGAGCCTCCAAAACCTCATGTGAGTAATATAGATTGTTTAATGATAAAATGGCATCAGCAGATCCTTTGTTACAATAGGTAAATGCTCACAGCAGGCTCCCAGCGTGATAACCCAGCTCCCAGCACAGCCCCCCAGGACACACCGAGGCCTCCTCCTCCCATTAGCTAAGCAGCTCACACAAAATAAAAAAAAAATTCACCACATGAAAGTGTCAGGAAGAAAAAAGAAACATTAAAAATTTATTCAACCATTTCTCAAAGCCAACCAGAATGCACCATGGAAAAATGCATTCAAGTAGCCCTTCGCGTATTTGGAAGAGAAGCAGCTTTTCAAATGTAGTCCACCGTTAGAGACATTTCTCTCACATCCTTCACACCAGCATTTGAATTAATTCTAATTAAGGCGATGTAGATAGCGCACATATAAGGGAAAAGCCTTTATGGGAAAGCACAGGAGCACGTCTGCCTTCTGCCAACCAAAGCCACTAAGGAGCCCCACAAGGTTCATGGTGGGGCAGAGGGGAAGGGCCCTAGGGCTATGGCAGCCCTGGTCTGAGGAGGCTGGGCCTTCCCACTCCCCCAGCCTCCTCCTCAGGCAAACCACCCACATCAGGGTAGTGTGAAGGTTAAAATTTGTTTGTAAAGCATCTTGAACAAGAGGTACCACGACAGCAGGAGGCTTACTGTTTCTGCTGTGTTCTCACCACAAAGTTAATACAATAGTTGGAATTATTTATTATCAAACCTGCAATGAACAGCACATGATCTCTTCAAAAAGACTAAGGAGATAGAGTACTAGTTCGAAATCACACATAATTGTTCAGATAGATAGGGACATTTGGAGATCATCTAGTCCAACCTCTGTTCAAGAAGGGTCAAGCTAGAGAAGGTTGCCCAAGACCATGCTCAGTTAGGTCTTGACCATCTCCACAGGTAGATCTCCAACCAACATGATTCTGTGATTCTGTGACTTCCACATCAGCTTTCTCACCCTGAGACTTTCCACAACGTTGCTGTCAAAAACAGCCTTTTCGGTTTTGTAGTCAGACCTTACTTCCTCTACTGGGTTTCCCAAAACCTATAGGTTCAAAACATGCAAATAAAAACCTTGAAGATAAATTTGTGTTACATATTTCCAGTTATCATTTAGATATCAAAACATATGCTTTGCTACTCCAAGCATGAAACAGAGCGTGGCAGGAGGTTTCAGGAAATGGGAGGAGGCAATTAGGAAAGCCTCCCCAGTTTGACTGGCTGCCCGCCAGAAAGCATTCACAGAGAAAAGCAAAGTTCTTTAAAAAAAAAAAAAAAAATCACCAGGATTAATAAAGCTATTCTGAAACAGATCAAAGCAGGGAAAAAAATCATACCATTTTAAGGAAATAGTATTTTAGATTCTATAATGTTATTTACATTACAGGTTTGCTTTCAATTGTCTTGGAAGGCATCAATGTTCTCCAGATTCTCCTATTCTAATTTCAATTTAAGACACACTAGAATATAGGAGAGTAAGTTCTTGTGAAAAGGCATAGTTAGAAGCATGGCATTAAATGTTAATCAACTATAAAAAACTCTAAAATACATAGCCAATATTCATTATGTAGTTATTTTAATATATAGGTATTAAATTTGAAAACAAAGAACAGCTTTCCTAGCAAAATAAATATGACTGCAATATAATCTTTCCTTAATCTTTCATATGAGAATGCTTTCATTTACACTTAGATGACACATTCTAATATGCTCTCACTGTTAAATTGCTCACATCAAATAAAAGATTCTTGCTGCAGGCAAGTATATCACTACCTAACTAATAAAGCCAGTAAGTGACAAGATGTGAGGAAAAGAAAATGAAAACAATTAACTGGAAATCTGACAGAGAAAGTTTAAGCTCTACGTTGTGCACCACTATGAAATGTGAGGAGAGCTGGCAAGCCCAGTCTTTATCGACTTGAGTAACCAAGGCATTAACCTTCTGCCCTCATTAAAGAATATAGTTCAGAAAAAAAATTTAATAGAAGGGTCCTTACATTTAGAATACAAGATGCATCTAATTATTATATGGGAAGCATTAGATGACACAGACTTAAATAATCATATTAAATGTTTCTCCACTTCTAAGATCACTTAGGAGACTAATTACCAGAGCTGCTACTATGATCTGCAGACTTATCATTGGAAAGCAGAGACAAGAGAGCCCACAGCTCAATTTTAAGACAATCAATAGAAAGGTGTGAAAAGGCATCTTAGAATCACATTACCAACCAGAAAGGTATTTTCAGTATGAACACGTAAACATTTTAAAGAATTCATTGGGAAGTTCAGGAATGAAGTCAACAAGCCTACTGAGAGGAGAGATAAAAAAGTCATGAAGGAGAACTCCTATGATAATTAGGAGAATTAAAAATATATTTCAAGAACTCAGATAAAGGTAGCAAAACAAAAGGACTAAAGAAGGAATCCAAATTCTTGGGAATATACACTAGGGAGATGGAATAATTTTAAAGGCTTTTTGCAAGATCAAATGGATATAAGTGTAGACTGTAAAGACCAGATGGTTAACTAGAAGTTCTAAGGAGGCACATCCAGGAGCTGGTTGTCTCTTTGTGTCACGGTTCTGTTCCTCCCTCCCTCCCGCTTCTGCTGACCCTTTGCATCAACACCAAGTAAACCAGGGTATATAACCAGCTAAAAGGATATCTAACCATCTGTTAAGGGGTTTGTACCACTTAGCTCCCTTAAACAGTTCACAATGAGATCAAAAGCCTGTACTGCCCACCAGCAGGACTACATACGATAACAGAGACTGGCCTGAACTGCCATGGGACTCCTGACTGCCCGGTTAGAAACTAAATCAGGATGTGAAATAATCACAAAAAAAAAAAAAAAAAAAAAAAAAAAAAAAAAA